TGCCCCAAAGAAGAGGGAGTCAAACTATTCTCCAAAGCACCCGAGGGCAGGACAAGAAGCAACGGGTGGAAACTAATCAAGGGGAGAAGCAACTTAGAAATAAGGAGGAATTTCCTGACCGTGAGAATAATTAATCAGTGGAAGGACTTGCCTCCAGAAGTTGTGAATGCTCCAACACTGGACGTTTTTAAGAAGAATGTTGGATAACCATTTGTCTGACGTGGTGTAGGGTTTCCTGCCTAAGTGGGGGGGTTGGACTAGAAGACCTCCGAGGTCTCTTCCAACTCTGTTATTCTATATTCTATCTGTGGGACTTTGGGATTCTGGGAGCTGAACCTCCCCCTATCTGGATTGGATGGGAAACAGCGCAAAACTCACCTTTTGCCTTTCTGGATCCGAGAGACATCCACTGCGTCCTTGCTGAAAACATCAAACTCGTCATCCTGGAACACGTTACATCGGGAAGTGACAAGCGGAGTCGGGTCTGGTTTCACAGGCCTGGCAGAAAGAGACTTTTTAAAAAAAAAGAAGGAGGAGGAAAAACAGCAACAAAAGCCTTTCTTTTCCAGAAATACAAGACACGAATCTTTCAGGAAACACACTGCCGTTTTAGGGATGCAAAACAGGTCCCTGAATGGGAGCCTGTGAGATGGAGTGCCGTAAGGAGGTGGATCTGCATATCCAAGAGAGGAAGAGGCAATTCAGCTGAGATATCAAGTGTGTGAGACAGAGGGTGAAGACAGCTCCTCCTCAAGAGTACCCAGAGTACCATATTTTTCAGCGTATAAGACGCGCCAGAGTATAAGACGCACCAAGATTTTGAAGAGGCAAATTAAAAAAAAAAGATTTTGCACTCTGCAGACCTCCCGAAGATGGGCCCATTTTTTGTCAAAAAAAGGTCATGCATAGCCTTTAGGAGGCTTATAGAGTGCTCCTGAGGTCTGCCCCCCCCAAACGAGCAAAAAAACGGCCCACTTTTTCACTCGTTTGTGCCCTCCCCAGCCCCCAGGAGCACTCTGGAAGCCTCCTAAAGGCTACGCACGGCCATTTTGCAAAGGGGGCGGGGTTTCAGGAGGCTAAAAATGCTGTTATCAGTCTATAAGACGCACCCAGATTTTCAACCTTTTTGGGGGGGAAGGTGCGTCTTATACTCCGAAAAATACGGTAAGTCCTCATGTGTGGACAGGATGGGAGAAAGGGCTTCCTCAACATGTTCCAATGGGAAGACATGAGTTCTAATTGGGACTCTGTAGTTTCCTTCATCCTGCCCGCCGTTACTAGCAGATCCATTGGCTAAAATGTCCTAAGATTCCTTTGTATAACGACCAGGTTGCGATGCTAAGGAGCTCGAGGTTTCCCTGCTGCTGTCTCAGCTCTTGGCCGGAGTAAGTGTAAGGAACTCGGCTTGGAAGAATCACCCTGTGTGCTTCTTGGTTTGGGGCCTGACACATGGGGGACTGAGGAATCCTGGGCGTTTGAAGTCCACACATGGCAGCTGAAGAATTTTGGGTGTTGAAGTCCACCCATGATGTGATGGAATGTGTTAAGGAGGTGGATCCCCAGGAAGGAGGGGCTGCATTCCAGAGGAGGAAGAGGCAACTCAGTCTGGATATTATGTGTGAGAGAAAGAAGGTGAGGGCAGCTCCTCCTCAAGAGTTCCCAGTGCATACTGTAGATGCAGAGAATAGAACTCTCCGTCTGGCAGGATTCTGCCTACAGGTGTGAAACGATAAAGTGCCCGTTGATTAGCACCAACTAGTAGTCAGAAAACATGATGAAATCTCCTTGATTTCACAACACATGGACAGACTCAATTGTAGTTTCAACTGGGAAACTGAGACCAGCCTAGATCAAACCAAGTCCAAAACCTTCAGAGAATTGCTGGAGGCCTGGCGTTCAGACAAATTCGTTTCGTTTCGTTTCGTTTTCGTTTAATTTATTTGTATGCCGCCCTTTTCCCTGAAGGGACTCAGGGCGGCTCACAACTCAAAAGGGAGGGGAAATACAAACAGAGTAACAAAACATACAACCATACATAGTTAAAAGCAGAACAATCATACCATTCGAAGTGGGGCAACGAGCCTTTAGCCCCAGGCCTGTCGGAACAGCCAGGTTTTAAGTGCTATGCGGAAGGCCTGGAGGGTGGTGAGGGTACGAAT